TGCAATAGGTGCCCCAAGGAAGATTTCATCAGCGAATTCATAACCTCTACAGGTTTGTAAAAATTTGCAAGATCTTGGCACCATTTTGCAGCAACAATGGCGTCGTCTTCCCAATCATGTGTTCACAAGCATCACAAGGTCAATGTGGAGGCGTTGTGTGGCAGTTGTCAACGCACATGGTGGCCATACACGCTACTGAACTTGTGTGCCATCAGATTCTTGTGCTTGGGACTTATGATTTAAACTGTTGATGTTATTACTGAATACTGTAGGTGCTTGGAACAAATTATGGTTACCACCGTTAATTAAAATCCTTCTTTGAACATTAATGATTAAAAATTACCTTCTCTGATACATTTGTCCGTTGTATATCATATATGAGATTACTTTTAAAAATGTGAAGTTTTTAATTTGACTCAGTATATAACGAGAGAACCGCTAGTCTGTCTTGTAATCAAGAGATAAAACTTCCGAATTTTCAATTTTAGAGGTGTCAAAAGTAGTGTCAGTACTTGTAAATTTCATTTGAAAACACGTGATAGTGAATAAGTGATTGAAACGTCCAATTAAAGTTTGGACACTCACAGGGTTTGCCCTAGACATTAAAAATTGGGAGTCATTATGACCCCCAACTTTTCAGATTAGGAGTCATTCATCAATTTTTGGGAGTCATATGAACTAATCTCAGAATCTCGCTATCAGGATGAAAAATTAAGTAAACATAAAGAAGGTAAGATTTTAACTTTTTATATTCTTCATAATTTTAACTGTAACATAAATATCTTTGATTCACAAAGTCAAGTATATTGGGCCTAATACTCGATAAATCTTTTTTTACACTATGAATCATAAATAACTTCTATTCTAATCTTTTTGGAAACTGTGAAAAGTGCAACGTAGATCGTGATAGGTACTAGGCAGAGCATGTATACTGTTGTGTTGGTTGTCTACCACCTGCGACTCGACCTTCGTTAACTCTTTCAACACCAGTCAAACAGAAGTGTTTACTGCTGGGACACCGAGTTCCCAGAGACTCTTGTGTGATAGATGAAGCCAACATTTATCAAAGAAAATACCTGCTTGTAAAATATATTTGCCACTACATGTTATACACCATTTGAAAGCTCTGATCCTATGGTTTATAAATATGAAAGTTATGTTTTTCACATTATATAAAATAATTTACAACTTAATTAAGTTCGTTGTAAATAAAAAATGTAATTAATACGTTGTTTACATCCAGATTAAGGACCAAAGAAGCGAAAACTTGACGATTTTCGGCAAATGTAAGATTTCATAAAATCCACTTACTTATTTCTGTTTTATTTTCATTGTTTACGTAATTGGAAAATCATTTAAAAAAGAATTATACCCATTTCCCGATAACAGCGGCTGTCCGCTCAGTAACATGAAGAAATACCCCCGTTTTCGAGGCTTCGTATGAATAACACGTTCGTCGAAGAATGGAAAATGACACATCGCTAGAAAGCTTATTCCTTTATCTACACGCTCGTAACATCGGCTGGTTTTTTTTCGTAGTTATAACAAGCGATTTCATTGGAATAAAATTGATTTCCAATGAAGCTTTCTTGCCGAAATCTGCTACAATTTTCGCGATTGGTCAATTTTGAGGACGTGACCTAAGGCAGCCAATCAAATTACAGCTGTGATACCAAGCTCGTGTTTGATAAATTTCAGAAGTTGGCGAAAGGTTTTTGTTAAATCGTTATTCTGAACGTTTTAAGCAGGAAATCACGATACATATTAAAAATATGGAACTTCGTGAATGTATCGTGCTAGGTTACGAGCTGTGACAAAGATTTTTCACGCATATCTTTTTGCATTAAACATCGTGTCCGAGCCGAGAATTCAAGCCGACGAAAGCCGAGATGTCTTATATTACACGCGATCGCAAGAAAAGATGGAAATAATAACTTAGATGTAAGCTTGATTACTTCTAGATATATTTTTGTTGATTTTACTTATTACTTTGTATAATATATTTAAAGATTTGTTTAACACGCCTTTATTTTGCTCTTTGACATGTTCGATGAGGACCCGTTGTCGAAATGTGTGTCGGGGAATGTTATTTTCAATAACATCGCGGGGAAATAGTGAATAATTTTTTAATTTATCGATAAAAAATTATAAATTGAAATGGAATACGTATTTTCAGACATCGTGAAATGTGATAGATTTAATAAATGAATGATATTACAGGTAGGTCCATAAAAATATATACTATTTTGACGTGACTACGGCTTGGCCGGTTAACCCGCTTACGGTGTCTGGGGAGTCCATGCTTCTTGGCCGAAAACCGGCCTACGGTGTTGAAAGAGTTAAACCGCTGATCATCTATAACGCTCATCAATTATTTGGACCCTGAAGGTAGCGTTGTAACGAGGGATCACTGTATTTTCTTTCTGACAAACGGAAAGGTCTCAGTTTACTAAATGTAATGGCTGTTTCATTGCGTCAACACTGACGCAGTAGAAAATATTTTTAGCGTATTTTCAATTATTTATGCGTCAAATACGCAGGTTTTCTGCGTCAGGGCGAACCCTGCACTCAGTTGGATTATTCTTGGAATCCTCAGCCAGCCATGCCATAATGAGCCCATGGTACCAGCAGAAGTTAGTGGCAGAGTACATTGAATAGCCTGGGACATGCAGCAGAGATGCCAACCATTACGCTTTTGGCGTAATAATTAGCTTTTGAACCTAAAATAACACTTTTACGCTTGTCCTCCACAAATTATGACTTTTGACATTTTTTCACAAATTATTTCCATGTATAGAATATCATGGATAGCAAATTGTTAATGCGCCAATCACGTGAAGCATTTTACAGTTAACCAATTGCATGCACACTGATATTTCTTAGGAACCCGAAACAGCACATTGTCTTTCTGCAATACAGTTAAGATTGTCACATGATGAATTTTTAAGAATGTGGAGAGCATGGTCCGGCATGAATGGAGTGTTTCTGATGTCATTTGTGGTCACGTCACTAAAATAACACTGGGGTCGGAGGCTTGTCCCCTCATAACAGCTTGAATTAAATGCTTTCGTAAGTGATTTATAATTTATAATTACCAAAGTTATGCAAAATATGTATCCATGTTTGAAATGTGGCCCCGGTGTATGTCACTGATGAGGCTGTTGCATGCTGTTATGGAACTTCTTTTTTCAAGTATTTTTTCAATGTTGATGTCGAGTTTTTTTATGTTTATGGATTGAAATTCAATTTCGTGGTTTAGTCATATTATCCCCCGCCCCAACGATGTTGGCGGGGGATATAGAAATGGGTTCCGTCCGTGTGTGTGTGTGTGTGTGTGTGTGTGTGTGTGTGCGAGTGTGCGTGTGTGCGTGTGCGTGTGCGTGTGTGTGTGTGTGTGCGTGCATCCCGAAATCGAATCTGGAGCATAACTCAGAAACCGTTAAATATTTCTCTACGAAACTTTGCATGTCTATTTGATTCATGCTGAACTAGTGCCTTTTGCTATATAGAAATTTTTATTTTTTACATTTCCATGGCAACAAGGTGGACTTAGGTTCTATAGGGTAGAGTTTGTTTCCGGAGCATAACTCAAAACCCATTCAATACTTTCCAACAAAAACTTTGCATGTTTACCAGACACATACTGGACTGGTGCCTCTTGCTATTTAGGAATTTTAGAAATTTTCATGTTTTACGTTTCAATGGCAACAAGTTGGACTTAGGTTCTATAAGGGTGCTGTTCGTTTCCGGAGCGTAACTCAAAAACCATTAAATAATTTCTTACAAAAATTTGCATGTTTACCAGACACATACTGAACTGGTGCCTTTTACTATTTAGGAGTTTTATTAATTTTCATGTTTTACGTTTCCATGGCAACAAGTTGGACTTTAGTTCTATAAGGGTGCTGTTCGTTTCCGGAGCGTAACTCAAAACCCATTCAATACTTTCCAACAAAAACTTTGCATGTTTACCAGACACATACTGGACTGGTGCCTCTTGCTATTAAGGAATTTTAGAAATTTTTATTTTTCACGTTTCCATTGCAATAAGTTGGACTTAGGTTCTACAGGGGTGGTGTTTGTTTCCAGAGCGTAACTCAAAAACCGTTAAATACTTTCTTACAAAACTTTGCATGTCTACAAGGCACATACTGAACTGGTGCCCATTTGTTATATAGCACTTTTAGAAATTTTTATTGTTTATTTTACCATGACAACAAGTTGGATTTAAGTTTTAATATAGGATTGGTTTACTTAAGGAGTATAAGAAATAAACTGTTAAATATTTCCTTGCCAAACATTGCATGTCTATATATAAAGCGCATACTGAACTAGTGCCATTTGATATTAAGGAGTTTTAGAAATGTTTATTTTAGAATTTCCATTGCAGCTATTTTGACATGGGCTAAGAGAAATGTTGGGTCAGTTACCTGGTTTGGGACCATAACGTGTTAAAATGGGCGGGGGATATAGATGACTTTGTCAATTATACGCTTGTTTAACCATTCAAACGCAAGCAGAGTATTTTTTTCTTCTTATTTAAGCGTTAGAACCCTGTTTTTAAATTATTTCAGCTTGCGTGTGCAGGTACATTTATACCGTCAATGCATGCCTAGCAAAAATTTCGAAGCAAAATGCAGCGTCATGGCATGGTACTCTTAACATTGCTCTTTTTCACATGAAATTCCACTTTACTCCAAAGCTTAGTTGGGGTTGGCATCTCTGCTGCAACAGTGTTTCAGTATTTCCTCATCAGGCAATCACTGTTATGTCATGCTTTTCTTAAACCACTTTGAAAATACAGTCAACTCTTCTGACAAGAAGCTCCTAAGTTAACCTTCAAGATTTGTGTGTTATATCCGCAGTTGTTTCACCAGTATTGGGTTGACAGTTATTCAGTATGCCCCTACCACCATGACTAGTTTGAGGTAATGTTGATGATGAATCATGCTGACAGGTCAGCTGCAGATACAGTGATGTTGGATTCATTTTCTTCCTAGGATGACTCCACACAAGGAACGAAGATTTGAAAAAGCATTTAATGCACCTTCTGTAAAGATGTTGCGCATCAGAGACAATATTTTTGTGCTAGTCAACAGCATGACTCTGGAAGGAGATGGGTGCTCACTGTGCCAGGATGCGCTCTCTAAATTACAAGAGGTTTCACAGCAGCTTAGATGTGCTCAGGTAATGTCTTACAGCAGCTTAGATGTGCTCAGGTAATGCCCACAGCAACTAAGATGTGCTCAGGTAATGCCCACAGCAACTTAGATGTGCTCAGGTAATGCCCACAGCAACTTAGATGTGCTCAGGTAATGCCCACAGCAACTTAGATGTGCTCAGGTAATGCCCACAGCAACTAAGATGTGCTCAGGTAATGCCCACAGCAGTTTAGATGTGCTCAGGTAAATGACATGACAAATGAAAGGCAAGACGTGACAAATGAAAGGCAAGACCTGACAAATGAAAGGCAAGATATGACAAATGAAAGGCAAGACTTGACAAATGAAAGGCAAGACTTGACAAATGAAAGGCAAGACTTGACAAATGAAAGGCAAGACTTGACAAATGAAAGGCAAGACTTGAAAAATGAAAGGCAAGATATGAGAAATGAAAGGCAAGACTTGACAAATGAAAGGCAAGATATGAGAAATGAAAGGCAAGACTTGACAAATGAAAGGCAAGATATGAGAAATGAAAGGCAAGACTTGACAAATGAAAGGCAAGACGTGACAAATGAAAGGCAAGACTTGACAAATGAAAGGCAAGATGTGACAAATGAAAGGCAAGACGTGACAAATGAAAGGCAAGACGTGACAAATGAAAGGCAAGACGTGACAAATGAAAGGCAAGACTTGACAAATGAAGGGCAAGACTTGACAAATGAAGGGCAAGACTTGACAAATGAAAGGCAAGACTTGACAAATGAAAGGCAAGACTTGACAAATGAAAGGCAAGATATGAGAAATGAAAGGCAAGACTTGACAAATGAAAGGCAAGATGTGACAAATGAAAGGCAAGACTTGACAAATGAAAGGCAAGATATGACAAATGAAGGGCAAGACTTGACAAATGAAGGGCAAGACTTGACAAATGAAGGGCAAGACTTGACAAATGAAAGGCAAGACTTGACAAATGAAAGGCAAGATGTGACAAATGAAAGGCAAGACGTGACAAATGAAAGGCAAGACATGAGAAATGAAAGGCAAGACGTGACAAATGAAAGGCAAGACTTGACAAATGAAGGGCAAGACTTGACAAATGAAGGGCAAGACTTGACAAATGAAAGGCAAGACTTGACAAATGAAAGGCAAGATGTGACAAATGAAAGGCAAGACGTGACAAATGAAAGGCAAGACGTGACAAATGAAAGGCAAGACTTGACAAATGAAGGGCAAGACTTGACAAATGAAGGGCAAGACTTGACAAATGAAAGGCAAGACATGAGAAATGAAAGGCAAGACGTGACAAATGAAAGGCAAGACTTGACAAATGAAGGGCAAGACTTGACAAATGAAAGGCAAGACTTGACAAATGAAGGGCAAGACTTGACAAATGAAGGGCAAGACTTGACAAATGAAGGGCAAGACTTGACAAATGAAAGGCAAGACTTGACAAATGAAAGGCAAGATATGAGAAATGAAAGGCAAGATATGACAAATGAAAGGCAAGACGTGACAAATGAAAGGCAAGACGTGACAAATGAAAGGCAAGATATGAGAAATGAAAGGCAAGATATGACAAATGAAAGGCAAGACTTGACAAATGAAAGGCAAGACTTGACAAATGAAGGGCAAGACTTGACAAATGAAGGGCAAGACTTGACAAATGAAAGGCAAGACTTGACAAATGAAAGGCAAGATATGAGAAATGAAAGGCAAGATATGACAAATGAAAGGCAAGACGTGACAAATGAAAGGCAAGACGTGACAAATGAAAGGCAAGATATGACAAATGAAAGGCAAGACTTGACAAATGAAAGGCAAGACGTAACAAATGAATTCTTTTTTTCTAGGATCCACTGAAGTCTTCCAGCAGTCACAATGTGTGTCACCAGTGGGAGCAGTTCACATACACCAAGCCTATTTTGCTGCAGGTGAGAGCAAGTTGTGACAGCTGTAGTCAGTTTTTATACAGGGGATGTGTTGTTAACCCCTCACCATGCATCAGCAATGCACAAGCAGGTGTTTGTTGCAAGTTCATAAGAATCCAAAATGTTCCATCAATGTCTTGTTACTTCTCCCTGCCTGTAGATTGGACCGTGATTTTCTAAGCCATTGGTCACAATGGAATTGTCTCCCTTGGATGAGCACCTTCAACTGTCCAATAATATAATTTGCCAAGCATGTGTTATGGTATGTACAGTCAACTTGGAAGCAACATATATACAGACACAGCATACCATATGTAGACACAGCATACCATATATAGGCACAGCATACCATATATAGACACAGCATACCATATGTAGACACAGCATACCATATATAGAGACAACATACTGTTTGTTTGCTTGTTTGTTGTTTAAGGCCTCATGTCACAGAACACAGACTGTCCAGAGACACAACCTAGTGTATCCAGACTGCATACAAACACACCCTACCATACCCAGGCACACCATACCATGTACTACATACAATGTTCAGATTGTGATTGTGTTGTTCCAGCACTACCCCATGTTCCGAACATCCGACATAGACTGTGATACCCCCGACGCGGCTCCTCTTGATGAGAAGGATACGCCATTCAAACCCAAGTGGGACTGTTTGTCCCAGGCTGCTACTGAACAGGTAATCATTAAGTTGTCCCTTGTCAGATGGCATTGGTATGTGCCATCCAGGAATGCCCTTGTGGAGACCATGTAGAGAGATCGGCATGCAGGAGGTCCAGGCTGTTACACTCAGCAGTATATTTCTTGTCTACTTCCCTCACAGAATCACATTGTCTTATCATGCTCCTTGTAACAATCATAGTTGTTAATTCTCTTTCAGATTAAATCCTCCTTGGGGCACTTATTGCATTTTCCTTGCTCAAGAAAATCTACATGACATAGTTGTAACCATTTTTCCTTAATAAAATGTTACCACACAAAAAACTGTGTATGATATATGACCACCTTTACAGTGCCTCACCCTCCACGGCACCCCGCGCCAGGCGGAGTAACTCTCACCCAAATCACTTTCCTTTATGTCATCCGACTGTCAAGACGTTTCAAGAACATAATCGTTCACTGTGAGACCATGACTGACCAAACTGTATGTATGGTACATTTCTTTCCTTGCAAAGGGGTAATACCTCGCATTGTAAAGTTATAGTGTTGTAATTCTAATAGAAGAAACGCCATGTGCACGGTACATTTGAATCAAATGGCCGTAATGGCGTCCATTGTGTAGTTCCACTGTCTGACACATGTAAACCAAGGCCATCAAAACGGCTTTGTTTTTTGTTATATCATACAGAATTGAACTACAGGTTTTCCTTTACATAAACCCAAGGTGGTGTGCTAGATTATAACTACACTTACCTTTTTTACGGGTTTTACACCTTAGCGCGTAACACGCCCCTTTGGTGTTAAAAAATTATACTACGGACATTGGCTATTAGTATCGTGTTACAAATCGCACTCTACATTACGCCTTTGCTTCTGTTTTCACAATTTTGCATGTATCTTTCCGATCTTTAATATCGCACTGATACACTATTTTCCCTCCCCCAACCCAACTCAGAAATTACGGTCTTTTTTACAGACCTTCAAACTTTGTTCGGGATGTGGGTTGAACATCCCACCCCAGGACCAGCATTCAAGCTGCCTGAAGTGTTTTGTAGAAAGGGGGCATGACTGATCAGAAAGGGGGCATGACGATCAGTCATGCCCCATCTGCCGGGAGTTTACCCCGGGGGCATTCCGAGACCGGGTTTCGGCTCCGGCTTGAGGTCGCTCCCCAGCGGAGGGGTGGCGGGCGCTGGCCCGTTCACTTCCTCCGCACCTTTTTCCCTAGTGGAGCCAGGCACCTTCTCTGAGACCGAGGCCGAGGCTTCCACTAGTGGATCTGTGGCCCAGAGCCAGGTGGGTTCCCTTGATCCCCCGGCACCTCGGGACCGGGACTCTGCTTCGGGCCGGGGGCAGCCTGGGGATGCGAAGGCCCAGGCCTTCGGGCATCCTCTTCCTTCCTCCTCGCTTACTCTCTAGAGGATGAGTCGATTACGAGAGGCCGCTCAGTTGTACGCTTCAATCAAGGACTCTAAGGCCTTGTTGGAGGTACCTAGCACCGAGCCGTGTAAGCGGACCTCTCCCCTTGACCCTTCCCACACTGACAACCGAACGGCGATGACTTCCATCTGGAAGCAGGGGGGAACGGTGTCTCTGTCGCTTCTCCAAGAGACGTGGCAGTTCCTCCTATGGTGCGACACTCACGATATCAGGGTGATACCTGTTTATCTCCCTGGGGTGGACAACGTCCGTGCGGACGCTCTGTCTCACCAGATCCTCGCTCCTCACGAGTGGAGGCTCGACCCGGGGATATTTGGGATTATCTCCTGATTATACGGGTAGTTCCAGGTGGATCTGTTTGCGTCTGGGGTGAATCACCAGACACCAACGTTCTGCTCCCGAGTCCCCGACCCGAGTCGCCGAGTTCTGTGGGCATTCCCGCCAGTCCCTCTGATTTCCAAGGTCTTATCTCAGCTAGCCACTCAGCCTGTGCAACTACTTGTGCTCCTGGCACGTCTTTGGTTGGCGCAGAGTTGGTTTCTGGCTCAGCCTCCTGTTCTATTACCTTTACGACCGGACCTCCTATCCCAGAACGGGGCCCTCCACCCGAATCCCAGGATTCAATGGGTGGCTTGGCCACTGTCAGGAATTCGTGGTATTCCTGCACGAGTTGCAGACACAATACTGGCTTCGCAGGGGGATTCGACAAACGTTCAGTAGGAGGATAGATGGGCCTGCTATGTGAGCTGGTGTGTCGATAGAGGGATTGCAGATCCCTATTCTGCAGATCTAGTAGCCGTGCTGGAGTTCCTTCAGTCGCGACTAGATGACGGCCTGGCCGTATCGACAGTCCGGGGGTACTCTACAGCTATTGCAGCTTTTCACGTCCCTGTCGGCGGGGCACTACTGGGTGCAATCGTTCTTGATTGGCTGTCCGGTCATTCCTTCCGGGATCTGTCATTTCTCTCTCTTCAGCTGTTGAGCTGGAAGACGGCGTTCCTTGTGGCAGTAATGTCCGGCAGACGGGTAGGCGACATTCATGCAATGTCAGCCGATCCCGAACTAACTGTCTCGAGGTGGATAGTTTCAACCATTTGTACAGCGTATACACTTTAAGGCAGGGACCCCCCTACCAGGTTGAAGGCTCATTCAGTTAGAGCAGTGGCTACGTCACAAGCGTACGCCGCAGCTCTGCCCATTGAGGAGATCTGCTCCGCGGCTATTTGAAACCAGCCGAGCACGTTCATCAAACATTACCAACTCGACAAACACTCAAGCGAGCGTGCTCGGTTTGGTCAGTCAGTTCTCTGAACTGGGCAAAGTTCTACATCTCTAGCCGATTGAGCCTTCGAGATTTTAGACCATCCTCCGGTTATACTGCTCAGTAATTGTCCAGATTTTATCTACTGCGGTCGATAAATATCAGTCCTATAGTATATGGTATATGGTCGACCATGCCCTGTCTCTAGCCCCTGCCTCTCGACGGTGGTGCCTCACGATAAGCCATTTATTGAACTCTTTTTTATTCATTGATATAATCAGAATACAATGTATTTATTTACGCTTGTTGCTGACGGATGCCACTTCCTAGATTATCTTTAGGAGTCTATCTTGATGCAATAAGTGCCCCAAAGAGGATTTAATCTGAAAGAGAATTTTTACAAACCTGTAGAGGTTATGAATTCTCTGATGAAATCCTCTTGGGGCACGGCCACCCACCTCCCCACATTCCGTCAGCGTTTGACATATGGAAAGTGATTTGGGTGAGAGTTACTCCCCCTGGTGCGGGCCGCTGTAGAGCCTGAGGCACTGTAAAGGTGGTCATATATCATACAAAAATGAATTTTTTTGTGTGGTAACATTTTATTAAGGAAAAATGGTTACAACTATGTCATGAAGATTTTATTGAGCAAGGAAAATGCAATAAATGCCCCAAGGAGGATTTCATCAGAGAATTCATAACCTCTACAGGTTTGTAAAATTTTCCATTGACCACAGATCTATTCTTTTACATTGAATTGATACACCAATATGATGTTTTCATTTTGCTGAGATGCCATATTTTGCCAGTCCTGCTGCAACTTGAAGTTTGTGTTGTGTGCAGATGTTCGGCCTGCTTGACCCACGGCTAGTGATCAGTGCTCACACCCATCACGGCTGTTACCGCCTCCACAAGGGCAGCGTGCCAGAGTGGACTATACCATCTTTCAACTGGAGGAATAAAAACAACCCATCATTTCTCCTTGTGAGTGCATGCCTCAGGAACTATTTCCATGTACCTGTGAAATCCAGGGTAGAATAGGTCTTCAGCAACCCTTGCTTGTCGTAAGAGGCGACTAACGGGATCGGGTGGTCAGGCTCACTGACTTGGTTGATGCATGTTGTCACAAATTGCTTGGATCAATACTCATGATATCAATCACTGGATTTTCTCGATTATTAACCGACTGCTGTCATATAGCTGGAATATTGCTGAGTGCAGCGTTAAACAACAAACAAACAGTGCTGACTAGGTGGCATGCCGCAAACCTTTTATTGTAGGTTCAAATCCGAGACTTGTCCTGATTATGTTTCAAGGTTTGTCAGCACCACCCCATGTTTGTTGAATTCATCAAAGCTGTATATGACTAAGACCTGCATCACTTCAGACTTTCCTCAGACTGACACATGTAACAGGAATACTGTTTAAAGCGGCATTAAAGCAACTCACTTAATCATTCACCCAAAACTGATAATTTCTAAGCACTCAATATTTGATTAATGCCACTGACCACCACTACGAAAAGATGGAGAACAAACTCTTCTGCCACACTATACTAGGATATGTAAGATGATTAGGATCACTGGACACAAGTCTCCTTATGTTTGTTTTGGGTCTTCTTTCAGGCAACTATCAGCAATGACAACTATGCTGTGAAGCGGTGCCTGATGCCGAGGGAAACTACTGTGATAGCTTTATACATCATCTGGGGCCTCTTGATACTACTTACGCTGCCCTTCCCTCGTAGGATCATCAAATTCAATACTGACAAGGCTCACTGACAATGACTGTAACTGACTAGGTGCCTGCTGTGTACATGCTGTGGATGGTGTCAAGCATTACTGACAAGGCTCACTGACAATGACTAACTGACTAGGTGCCTGCTGTGTACATGCTGTGGATGATGTCAAGCATTACTGACAAGGCTCACTGACAATGACTGTAACTGACTAGGTGCCTGCTGTGTATATGCTGTGGATGGTGTCAAGCATTACTGACAAGGCTCACTGACAAGGCTCACTGACAATGACTAACTGACTAGGTGCCTGCTGTGTACATGCTGTGGATGGTGTCAAGCATTACTGACAAGGCTCACTGACAATGACTAACTGACTAGGTGCCTGCTGTGTACATGCTGTGGATGGTGTCAAGCATTACTGACAAGGCTCACTGACAATGACTAACTGACTAGGTGCCTGCTGTGTACATGCTGTGGATGGTGTCAAGCATTACTGACAAGGCTCACTGACAATGACTAACTGACTAGGTGCCTGCTGTGTACATGCTGTGGATGGTGTCAAGCATTACTGACAAGGCTCACTGACAATGACTAACTGACTAGGTGCCTGCTGTGTACATGCTGTGGATGTTGTAAGACAAGTCTGGTAGCAACTTACAATTCAAAATGTTCTGTGCAATACCTTTAGAAATAAGATATGGAACCATCTGGTGCATAAGGTCATCTGACCTCAGCCTTGTGACATGACTGTATACCTATGAACAAAGGTGGCACATCCAGAGCAGGGCCTGCTCCTCGTCTGGCCTGACACAAACACACAATCAAACATTTGTCGTCCTGTTTGTTGAAATATTAATAATATTAGCAGGAAAAAGGAAACCTTTGAACTTACTGAACTGTTGCTGCTGATAGCATGTCATTCATGACTACGCTTCAGCATATTTTGAGGTGAGTCTTTGAGTCATCAGGAAATAATGACATTCTTGGTCGTCACAAGCTGTGTATTTAAATCCTTCACTGGGACATTATTCCCACTTGTAAATCTGAATCTTGGCAGTTGTACAATGATAAGATAATAATAATGACAATAATGATCATGTGCTCAGCGCGTTAAGGTGGAGTGTTGGAGATCAAGTGGGCTATGAACTCACTTATCAACTAGACTGCTGACTCCAACATACATTAATTAGTTACATTGAGCTGGATGACATTGAGGCATTATGAGCCATAGTGCTCCTTGAATAGATATGGTCAGAGACTTCTGATATTCTGCAGATGGCAACGTGTATTCTTGATGTTGGAAACATGGCTGGTCATATTTAGGTAGTCATCTACCTTTACTCCAAGGTATTAAACTTTTGGTGCTGGGTGAATTTCTTAGTGTCCAAGGATGACAGTGTTTCCAGACTTACATGTTAATTCTAGCTTTCTCTTTGGGGCGGTGATTAAGTTCTCTGTTTTTGATTTGTTAAGTTTTGTAAATAGTGTGTCATCCGTTTCTTGGTCTCTTAGGCAGTAAATGACAGATATATTTCATTGTCATCCACCTACTGGTGTTGAAGTACTTTGTTTGCCCGTGCAATGCTGCCACGTTAGCCTTGTGTACAGGTTGAATAACATCGGTCCAAGGACTGAACCCTGAGGAACACCACCAATGCTGATACTGAGACCTGTCTGAGAGGTATGACGAAAACCAAGTGAGAGCTTTATCTCTGATACATATTTGGTAGTTAACAGCATGTTGAGAAAGTGAAACTACAGTTATCCTATTACTGGGCCTCTATCATTAATATCGCAAAGAAATCACAAAGAGACACCATTTACACACTCTCACACAGGGACGCCACAAGCACTCAATCACAGAGATTTAGTAATTTCCTTCTTAGTCAAGACCAGTTTCATTGCTTGTTTCATTGATCTTATAGAAACATTGTCTGCATCCTATTAAACGATTGGAATAGCCTCCCTTTTGTATTTGTTAGTGATCTCTAGTCATGGCAGTTCTATGAAAGTCTGAACGGTATTATATTCTTTGGGACAATTAGAGAATATATTGACCATTATGCCTGTGAAATAGACCATTATTTATTATGGATTTATAGTGGAAATACTGTATTTATCTCAGAATATAAAATAGCTATGCGATAAATAAAGAACCATGAAGAACAAAGCATGGTTTGTTCACTGATATAAACATTGTTATATCATGATGTCATTTCTGGAGATACGAACATGCGCTCGCAACTTGACGTCACAATATGACAATTGGTATTGGGAGAAAAGGTGCAGATTATTGACATGACAATTGTGAGAGTACAAAACTAAAACCCCACATTGCCAAGGTGGGATTCTATTCTGGGAGTCATCATTATTATATACAGGTAAATGTTTTTAAAGCTTGTACAATTTATTGACATCCTTAAAAAGGCTGGCGAAAATGTTGATATGTCATATAAGAAATAAAAGACTTATGGTCATTATTTATTGTACAATAAAACACAGCAGGGAGAATAAACCACTCAGGTTAGCGCCCCACATGGCTTATACTCCCTGCAGTGTTTAATTGTATGATAAACAACTCCCACTCGTCATTTATTTCTTAAATACATAATTGATATTTCACTCGGCTGAAATAACATACTGGTTCACTCAATTATAATAAAACTATCTGCCAGAACTGCTTTCAGTGTGCCTGTTGATATGATGGTTTCCAGACAGACATGCAAGATCAGTGGGAAGACACATTACCAATAGGCCTTGAACTGTTGGCAGTCCAAGATAAACATGTTGATTGACAAGAAAACCTATATATCCTCCATATCACCATATATTTTCTGCAGACTGTGATACTTCCTGGTGTTCAATATTCACACCATGTTTTTGAAGGGACATGCTGGAAGGAAATGTCGAATGTGAGGATGTTACTTTCTCCACTGTCAAATGCTGTGTGCATGTGTGCAATGTTTCAGGTCAACAATAGGCTTGTAAAAGAACATCTTCCTGAGGCAAGGGAGTTAGCTGACTGTAAAAGTCCTGTTTCCACCCTTGCTGAACTAGGCTGGAATTATGGAGTTATATTTTGGCTGGACTGACGAGTCTATGCATAGTCCAATCAAAATCGCATAACGAAATCAACATTTAGTTCGTAAACAGCATTTTCAACGTGCAGATTTCGGTTGACTGCAGGCTTTGCAATTGATGCCTACCGTCAACTGGGTGTCCACAGATATTTTCCAAGTGTTTTCATGTTTAATCAATGTGCTCACATGATTTGATGCACTTTGCAACATAAGACCCGTTTTATTACAATATTTATATCTTGATTAACGATCAGATCGTCTTCACTCGGCGCCACCATTTATTTTGTTTGAAGCAAATGCAAGTGATATGAGAGGTGGAATCTGATTAGTCAATAGGAGGGGCATAGGAGCAACATTACTCGTAATAGCCCCAGTCGGCGCTACGATCAAGTCAAGAAATTCCAACCTAGTTTGGCAAGGGTGGAAACTGGACTTTTACACTCAGTTATCTCCCTTGCCTCAGGAAGATGGGGAAAAGGATAACCTATGAATGATACAGTTCTAGGGACAAAAACAATGTTTGGGGATATGCAAAAGAAAAACATATGGGGTTTTGACAAAACTAAACACAGTTCCTGCAAATTAATTTCATTTGAATAGTGAACAAAGATCACATTATGAAAGATAGCACAAATACAATGCATACCAAATATTCTGAACAGGCAAATGAGATTTTAATTTTTTTTTAATTTTATGATATAGAGTTTTGAAATTACTGTGACAATGCTGTCAAATGAAAAGCTTTGTTTATTGAAAAGTACCATTACTACTAATTCAAATCTCTGGGAGGTATAGGAAGCATAAAAAGAGGGAATCATTTGGTTTAGTTATCAATCAAAATGTCTTACATACGCAGAACTTGTTCACATGCAAACACGCACACACTTTTGAAAACAAATGTAGTATGTTCTAAAACTGACTGAGCGAAGATTTTGCTATTTTCGACCCGTCCCTTTTAATAATGCTGGATCTGCCCTTGGCTTGTACTCACAAACTTTAGAATCCACATTTTTTTAATATGATGAGTAAAGGGAAATCCTTTGTGCTTTTATGCTCCTATTTTAAAGGGTGGGGCATATTGATGACTTTGTCTTCTGGTTCAATTGGTTTTCTATATAATCCATTTGAGCTAATTAGTTCAACGCAACAGGAAGCTTATGTGAGCTAAAGTCAGGGCTCATATTTTCTTGTAGTCTTTTACTTGTTTGACATATTTATCTGAACCAACATGATTTATGAAAATGGAATTATTGGTGTATTTCTTCAGCAATGGTGTCTCTATCAGAACCTGATGTTATTTCAACATGGCTATTATTGTGAATGTATTGTGAATCATGGGCAAGAACTTATGTTAGTTTATGTTTAAGTTTTGATTTTTTAACAATACATCGGCATTATATCTTCATCAACCAGAATGAATCTGACACTTCCTCGCACACACCAGGCAATGTCAAGGTCACTGTCAGGGACACTCTCACAGAAGGTGAGCAGAATAACAACATATTGAAGGTACACATGTATATGTGTTGAGGGGATTTAAATATTTCTTAGACCTGTGTAATTCGTATTAAGGGTGAGTGATTTAAAGGACATTCAAACAATGATCCAATGAGGTTACAGAAACACAGGAGACAATGGTTACATAGACAACTTGATAAATTAAAAAATCCATGCAATGTCGGGTGTAACAAACAACCACTTTACATCTTTCTCCTGAAGGTTGCTTGTGTCTAATGTGTATATTGTGTCTTGAGTATATTTACTGACCAGTTTTTGTTGTTATTATTCTAAGTATCTATGTCCTTAAGTACCAAACACTTAATGGATGTACATGTTGAAGGCAGGGTGTGATACTGCAAAGGTCAACTTTGTTTTAGTCATAAGTTATGTGGCACAGATGCTGAGACTGGAATGTGAGAAGTTATGTTTGGAATGCACATAGACTTTGAACTGCATTAAACTGTTGTATTGTTGAGCAGTTTAAAAAGCACTTTCAGTCTCCCTTGTGATAAACCCACTCCACCTGGCAAGGATCTCAAACCTGAGGTTCCCCAACTTCACAAAGTCATCAAATCAGGTTTGGATATATGTTTTTAATTAGTTGGTTTTATATTCAGGGACGGCAATGTGAATACCATCAAGTAGATTCACCAGTTTGTTCGTGTTCACATGGAATGTGAGTGTATGCCTTTTAGCATGGATGTGTCAGCACAATAGTCTGACAGTTTAATTTGTTATGACATAAGTACCGGTATTATGTCAACCCAACTGCCTTGTTGCGGCTCACTTGATTACAATGGAGCAGATGTGAACTGTGATTACTGACAAGGAAATGTATTTTTCCATGCATATGTACTACTGAAAAGAATTTAGAGAACCCCAGATTCCTTCATATTACTGTAGTTAATCTGTCATGCCATCACTGATTAACTATATTAATATGAAAGAATTGTGTGTTCTTTAACTTCTTTTGAGTAGTATTCAGTGTGTGTCATTCCCTCCCCCTCTCTTGACCATTCCTGTTTTGTTTTACATTCCAGTGCTTTGTTTCAAAATGTCCATATTCATTGATAATCTGTAAATATTGTCACAATGTATTTACCTTCAACATTAAAGACTGTGTATGTAACCAATATCTTTGGCTTGATCTGTGGCAGATGTTTGAACAACTTTGGCTTGATCTGTGGCAGATGTTTGAACAACTTTGGCTTGATCTGGGGCAGATGTTTGAACAACTTTGGCTTGATCTGTGGCAGATGTTTGAACAACTTTGGCTTGATCTGTGGCAGATGTTTGAACAACTTTGGCTTGATCTGTGGCAGATGTTTGAACAACTTTGGCTTGATTGTGGCAGATGTTTGAACAAATTTGGTTATGCTGATAAAGGATTTCCTAACCTGGATTCATACATTGGGACACGGATGGCCAAGTTCTGATGTGCAGAGTTGCCTCCCTTAGGTAGGACAGAAGCCTGGGATGGTGGTATCAGATCCCAGAATTGCAATGGTTGTTTCTAGATTTTTCACCAATGTATTGAGCTCTAAGACTTGAATCACCTCAGGTTTTCCTCCCACATCAAGCTGATAGGCTGTGATATGACTGAAATACTATTCAAAGTGGTGTAGATCAAGGCACACTCATGAAACAAAACAAAATCACATATTTTCCTCTTTATTTAGAAAAATAAGTTTTTTAATATACAGGTACATACTATGTATAGATATGTTATTTTCTTTAGCACACATGTATGATGATGAAAATCATTGCAAAACCATAGCTGTACAGCCTGCACATACACATTGGGAATAAACTACACACAGAGGTATGTAGCCTGTGTCACCTCCACTTGGAAACTATGCAGTTCACTGTCATGATAACTGAATTAGGTCACACTTTACAAGCCTGCCATTAACCCAATGGTCACATGTTAGACTCAACAGCTGCATTTACCTCCATGCCTGTTGATCATGCTAATAATGACACACCTACGACAATACTCCTGGGTCACCTGCGCCCCCTCACAGGTGATCAGGGAGGGCAGGTATCTGACTCCAGCAAGCCCCGCCCATTTACTCAAGTGAACTACCACCAAACAATGGAACCTAAATACAACAAATGGGCCTTGAGAGCAGAGGTAGCACTGTGACACTCCTTGATGTGCTGACTTACACTGTGTGAAAATACAGAGTAGAGTTATTGATTCTTACTGTGGTCCACCTGCAACTTCCCAAGTTATACACACATAGTTGGCAAAAGAAGTCCAGTTTCACATATTTTTTTAGTCTTTTAAGTTTAAATTTGCAGTCATAATTCTGAACCTCTTACCAACAGTATATTATTTTGATTTGAAAGAACCAAACTGTTCATTAAATAACAAACGAAATAATTTCATAAATAACTTCATAATTTATAGTTTGTTGTAGGCCAAACAAGCAGGCTGGGCAAAAAGTAGGATGCTCCACATATTGGGGTTATGATAACCCTTCTCTCTGAAAGATTTCCATGACTTGCATAACCAGCCTGTCATCTGGCTACTGCTGTTCTGGACTGCTTGTAAAACATCCATCATCCAAGTTGAGACAACACTCTGCAGTCATGCATAATCATATTCACCAGGATATGGGACATTTATTAATGTGTGGAGCACTTCAAGTGGTCAATGGACTCAGAAATTCCAAAATGAGAACAAAACGATGAAAGAATTTTAGAGAGCATGATAAATGAGACTTTACCAGTCGAGAAGGTCAGCATACGGATCTATCAATGTCTGTTCTCGATCTATCAATGTCTCTTCTCGGAGGAATAAGGCTGAGGAATACTTTTGTCAAGGAAACACTTGTTTTTATTGCTCACAGGCACTAATCACAGAGCTTATCTATGTTCATGCTACGACCCAGTATATTGCATTACCTTTAGTGATCGATCAATAGCCCTAACTAGTGATTGGCCGTATGAAATGGAGAGGGACACTGGTGGCCCAATGTTCAAATGTCGCTGTGAAGAATTGGGTCCCAGGGGTGTGCCAGAAACTTGTATCATGGATCCAAGTCCTGTTTGCCCTGATACTGATTCTACGTTTTACAATACCATACCCCTGTCCCCCTGCTCGCGGGTTTCACCCAACGTCTTAGACCTGTATCACTCAGGCTTCCCTCCCAAATTAAGCTGACATGCTGGAATACAGTTCAAAGCAGGGTTAAACCAAACTCGCTCACTCACTATTAAATAGACACAGTGTTTCAATTTACGCATGACACTAATTACAGTGCTCAGTCACCACATCTACGACTTGTACATAGTCAAATCAGGGACAACCAGCTACCCAGTCCTTCACCACCACTATATGGCTAATTACATCATACACATCCACAATCCACATCTGTTAGCATTAGTTCTGCCAACAGCACCAGTTCTGGAAACCATATGCCATCTTTTACGTCACTACTGTCATAGACCGCCTCCGTGGTCTAGTGGTAGAGCGTCCGCCCGGAGAGCGGAAGGCCCGGGGTTCGATCCCCGACCGCGTCATACCAAAAGACGTTAAAAGATGGTACTTGTTGTTAACCTGTCTGGCGCTCGGCATCAAGGGGCTAAAACAAGGACTGGTCGGCTCGGAGTCAGTATACTGTGTCTGAGTGGGGTATTCATGTTAAACTGCGGCATGGTATCTCAGTGAGCTAGCACTATAAATCGGCGTCAGTCCGGACTAGTACAAGCAGCCACACAAACACACACACGTACATGCACGTCGCCATATAAGTGCAATAATCTTGGACGCGACGTTAAACCCCATTTCACCACCTCACTACTGTCATAAACGTTTATCATGTAGCGGCCTCTCTTCGTTAATCAGTGGAGTTGCATTATCCGAGATCGTCCAACAGGTGTGCAGCGCGAGATCGTTGTCATTGTTCCCATTGTGGCAGAAATATGAATGTGAAATATGACGCGATTTCCCCTCAAACAAGAATTCCAGCTATCCGAGATCTGTCGTATGTTACAGTTACACGTGGTTACTAGGAAGCTCCAGCAAGTCGGGTCGGGGGTCGTCTTTCCTCCTGGAAGTAACAACATGACGTTAACTTTTGCCTCGCTTATTCATATCCTAAATGACCCGTGAAGATCCCGGATAGAATAGGTCTTCAGCAACAAACAAACAACAAACTATCATAAGTATGTATACATACGAAGGTGCATATGATTAAATCATTCCTTAAAAGAGAGTAAATATTATGTACCCCGAACATATCAGATACCGACTTTTCCTGATTGAAACAAATTTATTTTGATGCGAAAGATTTTCCATTCAGTAACAGCAGTAAATACGACTCTGTAAATTTCAGATATACCGGCGTGTTTCTTCCCGTCAGTACAGATAACGTTATATAACCGGGCTATGGAGGTTTGTTTGTTTAAGAATTGACTGTCACTTTGTGTGAGTTGATTGGAGTGTGAAACTTCATTGAATGAGGGCCAAACATTGTATGAACGACGTTCAACTATCCGACGTTCGTAAAGTTTGGCCCTCACACTATGAAGGTTCATTTAAGAATTGACTTTCATTTTGTGATTGATTGGAGTATTAAATAACCTTCATAGAGTGAGGGCCAAATTGTATGAACGTCGGAACTTGCGACATGGATCGAGTCGGTACGACAATAGTTTGAATCTGGTTTTCATCGTTTTGTTCACTAGGATGGGTTGTAGCGAGGATATCCTTGAGCGGGAATGCAATCAAACTCTCTGAGTTCCTGTGTCTCTGACTTATCCCAATGTATGCTTAAACGCTAAGTTCAAGATTAAAGGGTCTGAATGATCAGAAAATGATCTGTATGGACTCGTGCTCTGGATTTCCCAGGGTTTTCCCCTGGCACGTGGAAGTAGTCCGTCTGTGATTACGTCATTTCATTTCAAGAATGCAGTCTCATGCATCCACCAAGTCAGTGAGCCTGAACACCCGATCCCACATGGGTTGCTAAAAAACAATTCTATACCGGATCGGCGCCATGGAAGTACATGTGTGTTTGTTTGTTGTTTAAGGCCGCATTCAGCAATATTCCACCTATATGACGGTAGTTTGTAAATAATCAAGTCTGGACCAGACAATCCAGTGATTGATATATGGAGCATCGATCCACGCAAATGAGATACGATGACATGCATCAACCAAGTCAGCGAGCCTGACCACCCGATCCCGTAAGTCGCTCTTACAACAAGCAAAGCCGCCTTTTACAGCAAGTATGGGTTGCTGAAGACATGTTCTACCCCATATCTTCGCGGGTCGGAAGAACATGTACTGTATAAGGCATTCATAATGACAACATTCTTGTCAGCATTACGTCATCAGTACATAAGTATGCATTACGTTTCTTAAAATGTAACTTTAATACACTACGCAAACGCCTCCAGCTCCTCTTATAAAAAAATGTATCTACCACAAGATGTCATTAATGTCCCAACACAGACCTGTTAATGTCAATCTCATTAAAATCAGACCTTAGTTCTCGCTACCGGTAAATAAAGATCAGAGAAAATCCTATTACAGGTCAAGTCAGAAAGACGTTTCGCGAAAGTTCTCGATTCAAAATTCTAAAACTGAACAAAATACATTCTTAAAGACGCTTATACTGTATGATAGTACCTCCCATGGGCCATGCAAAGTCTCTTCAGTTTAAACGTTTATCCCGGAAGCGAGAGATAGACGATGATTTTGACGGATTCAGTCGTACAGCCCGTAACTGTCGTTCGGAAATACATCGTTTAACGATTCGAGGTTGCATGATTAGAAAACATCGGACTGCTAGACAACAACTCAAGTATATAAACTGAAAACTGCAATAGGAAACTGACCTTCACTAACTGTCCGACCAGATAGTCTCGGAGCATCTCGTACGCGTCCGTTGAGTGACCCTTGTCCACGAAGGCCACTGTTGCGTCTGTCCCCGCGTGTTCAAGAATGATGTCTTCACCCCCGGGGTGCTGAAATACACGAATATACAATCCCCGTCATCACGTATTTATGTCGAAAACATGTAACACAAGCAGTTGAGAAATTCATAAGGGAGACGTTTTGATGTTTCCTGGAACAGATCATCTCGGAAAGGAAGAGGTGTTTTGAAATGAATTCAAGTAAAGTATTTGAGCATCCTTAAAACTAAACTCAAGAACATTCTTAACTCAGACTTGTGAATATGCGGCATTAATTATGGTTATATGTCATTCCTAAGGTATCGGTTAAAATATAATGGTCAGGTAATACTCTCGATTGGATGTATACAGCGCTTTGAGAACTGACAATGACCAGACTTCAACTGAAATGCTGTACCTCTCTGATAAAATTGGTGACGTCATAGACCAGATCTGATACGACTATCCAGCAAGACTCCAGATCGCAGTGCTGCGCCACCTCCTTCAGGGTAAACAGGGGAACACAGCTCTTGATTCGACCGCCTTCCATAGTGAGCGTGATACAGGCGTTATTTGGTAATTCTGAAATGTCAAAACATGTCTATACATCGAAATATATTGTTGTGGCAATAGAGCTGAGGAATGACGTCACTATTTTAAGTTGTTCACACACTCCCTTACGATAAAGTAACGTTGTGTACGCTTGCTATGGAAATGTTGACGATTTCGCACTAAACTGTATCAACCATACGTCACATGAATGTAATTAAGAATCAGTATTCTATACATCTGACCACTTGCCATGTAATAGGTCAAGAATACGCCTACCCGATTCTGTAGAATATTTTGTTTTGACACAAGTTCAACGTTTAACACCTCAGGGGTTATCCACTTTGTGGCATCGTGTATGCCGTCATGGGGGACGTCAGGGTGCATGTCGCCCTCTCCCTGCACCGTGCAGATTATTCAGTACAGTCTCTCCGGAGAGGTGACTGGTCAAAATGTTTGCTGAGTAGTCGGGATGGGTTCAGTGTTTGCCTGAGCATTCACCAACAATCAGTTCTAGTTGCTGACCACCGAATGCCGCCGTGACGATACACATGCTTGAGAAGTGGTTTCTGACCACCGAATGCCGCCGTAACGATACACATGCTGGAGAAGTGGTTTCTGACCACCGAATGCCGCCGTGTCAATACAGATGCTGGAGAAGTGCTTTCTGACCACCGAATGCCACCGTGACGATACACATGTTGTTTTATAGAGCTGTTTCTGAGCTCCAGAAGCACTGGTTCCTGAGGTCTAGACGTCGCCATGATGAAGCACTGGTTCCTGGGGTCTAGGCGTCGCCATGATGTAGAACTGGTTCCTGAGGTCTGGACGTCGCCATGATGAAGCACCGGTTCCTGAGGTCTAGACGTCGCCATGATGTAGAACTGGTTCTTGAAGTCTGGACGTCGCCATGATGAAGCACGTTTCTGGGGTCTGGACGTCGACAAGATGAAGCACTTTGTTCCAGAGGTCTGGACGTCGCCATGATGTAGCACTTTGTTCCTGAGGTCTGGACGTCGCCAAGATGAAGCACTTTGTTCCTGGGTTCTGGACGTCGCCATGATGTAGCACTTTGTTCCTGAGGTCTGGACGTCGCCAAGATGAAGCACTTTGTTCCTGGGGTCTGGACGTCGCCATGATGAAGCACCGGTTCCTGAGGTCTGGACGTCGCAATGATGAAGCACTGGTTCTTGAAGTCTGGACGTCGCCATGATGAAGCACGTTCTTGAAGTCTGGACGTCGCCATGATGAAGCACTGGTTCCTGAGGTTTGGACGTCGCCATGATGAAGCACTGGTTCCTGAGGTCTGGACGTCGCCATGATGAAGCACTTTGTTCCTGGGTTCTGGACGTCGCCATGATGTAGCACTTTGTTCCTGAGGTCTGGACGTCGCCAAGATGAAGCACTTTGTTCCTGGGGTCTGGACGTCGCCATGATGAAGCACCGGTTCCTGAGGTCTGGACGTCGCAATGATGAAGCACTGGTTCTTGAAGTCTGGACGTCGCCATGATGAAGCACGTTCTTGAAGTCTGGACGTCGCCATGATGAAGCACTGGTTCCTGAGGTTTGGACGTCGCCATGATGAAGCACTGGTTCTTGAAGTCTGAACGTCGCCATGATGAAGCACTGGTTCTTGAAGTCTGGACGTCGCCATGATGAAGCACTGGTTCCTGAGGTTTGGACGTCGCCATGATGAAGCACTGGTTCCTGAGGTCTTGACGTCGCCATGATGAAGCACTGGTTTCTGAGGTCTGGACGTCGCCATGATGAAGCACTGGTTCCTGAGGTCTGGACGTCGCCATGATGAAGCACTGGTTTCTGAGGTCTAGACGTCGCCATGATGAAGCACTGGTTCCTGAGGTCTGGACGTCGCCATGATGAAGCACTGGTTCCTGAGGTCTGGATGTCGCCATGATGAAGCATTGGTTCCCGAGGTCTGGATGTCGCCATGATGAAGCACTGGTTCCTGAGGTCTGGATGTCGCCATGATGTAGCACTGGTTCCCGAGGTCTGGATGTCGCCATGATGAAGCACTGGTTCCCGAGGTCTGGATGTCGCCATGATGTAGCATTGGTTCCTGAGGTCTGGACGTCGCCATGATGAAGCAGTGGTTTCTGAGGTCTGGACGTCGCCATGATGAAGCACTGGTTCCTGAGGTCTGGATGTCGCCATGATGTAGCACTGGTTCCCGAGGTCTGGATGTCGCCATGATGTAGTATTGGTTCCTGAGGTCTGGACGTCGCCATGATATTTGGTATTTGCTTTGAATGGTTTCTTTTGTATCTTTGTCTCTTGTAATTGAAGAAATGAATGGTTCTCAACCTTCTATACACGTGTGTATGCAACAAATGAAATGTATATATTGTACAGGAGTGAGACATAAATAAATTAGTGTCTGTCTTGTCTGCATTATCTAAGTGTTTGTCATGGCTATATGGTGATTCGTCTTTGGAATGAATGGCATTTGAGACAAAGTTTGTCCTGAATCGGCCGCTATGACTGGATCAACAGCCGTCATTTTGAGTGTGACGGTAAGACACTGTTCCTGTTATCTCGTATACTGTTTGAATGGCATTCTAGAAGTTGGTGAGTAAATATGTAAATATAAAACTTTATGTATGTCAAATTCTGGTTTATTGCTATATGGAATTGTTTATCCATAAAATTGTACGTTTTCTTTTTTATCGTGCTGTCAAGAAGAATTCATAGAAGCCATGTCATCATATTATAAATGGGTATGCTCAGTTGAAATACTGTAACGGCCGAACTAGCTCATACGATCTGGGGCATAGTTTTTTATGTCAGTTCAAAAGAGAAAACACATCTATCCCAATTAAAAGCATATGTTACCCAAAATATACTGAACTAAATTAAAAACTTCACAATCCTAAAATTTTAACATTTTGACCAGTTATCATTGTGGGCCCTTATTTTGTATTTAAACAGTAATGGCCACGTATTGTCTTCAGATAACACCCGTTTTTGAGCAGGTGAATCGATGAAAAGCATGTGCACAGCACTATAGTGGCAAAAGTGGTTTTTCACGTGCAACTGGTCACGTGGCCATAATACCGCACGTGTTTTCAGCCATACTTGTTAGCAGTCATTAACAAAAAAAGAAAAACACAAGAAAACAAAGGTCTTTACGGCCATTTGTCATGCCACGCCTTTCAAAAGTGCAACGTGAACGTGCCATCGGCATGTTGCAGACGGGAACGTCCGTAGCTGAAGTCGCAAGGACGATGGGTTGTAGTCGACGGACTGTTTATGATTTACAGACGCGTCTACAGCAAACGGGTACCACCGACGATCGCCCTCGGCCAGGTCGACCACGTGTGACGTTTCATGCAGAGGATCGTCAGATTGTCTTACGTCACCTCCGTAACCGATTTTTGACGGCTACATCAACCAGAAATGAACTGTTTAGGGGTAGACTGAGTGCGCAAACTGTTCGAAACCGTCTGAGAACTGCTCACCTTCAAGCACGACGGCCATACTGCGGGCCGATTCTGACTCAATTACTCAGACGTCAACGTCACATACGATGGACTCAGAGGAATTGGAATCAAGTCGTTTTCAGTGATGAATCCCGATCTAATCTTCGATTTGCTGATGGTAGGGCGAGGGTGTGGAGGCGCCGTCATGAACGTTACGTCCAGTGTTGTGTACAGGAAGTTGACAGATTTCGAGGCGAAAGTGTCATGGTGTGGGGTGCTTTCTGTGGCAATGCACGTTCCAGGCTTCTTGTCATCCGTGGCAACCTCAACGCAGCTGTTTACCGCGACCAGGTACTGGCACCAGAACTTTTGCCTTTAATGGCAGCACATGGACCCGGTTTGATCTTCCAACACGACAATGCCAGACCCCACACAGCAATTTTGACAAGGAATTTCCTTCAGAATGCGGGAGTCAACGTCATGGACTGGCCGTCAAGGTCTCCCGACCTCAATCCCATCGAACACGTCTGGGATGCTCTTGGCAGAAGTCTGCGCACTCTCCAGAACCAACCACAGAATTTACAAGATCTTGGCACCATTTTGCAGCAACAATGGCATCGTCTTCCCAATCATGTGTTCACAAGCATCACAAGGTCCATGCGGAGGCGTTGTGTGGCAGTTGTCAACGCACATGGTGGCCATACACGCTACTGAACTTGTGTGCCATCAGATTCTCGTGCTTGGGACTTATAATTTAAACTGTTGATGTTATTACCGAATACCGTAGGTGCTTGGAACAAATTATGGTTACCACCGTTAATTAAAATCCTTCTTTGAACATTAATGATTAAAAATTACCTTCTCTGATGCATTTGTCCGTTGTATATCATATATGGGATTACTTTTAAAAATGTGAAGTTTTTAATTTGACTCAGTATAGTATGGTTAAAAAAGGTATTTTCACAGTTATAAGAAACCGACCATTTGTTTTTCGGGATGGGTGTAGAGGGTGCTTTGCTGGTAGTCCCCGGAAGTGTACCGGCGGATCCCTAATACTGTAATACTTGCGAGCGTAGACTCTCCGGGAAATTTAGATCAGTGTAAGACAAACACAATCTTATAAAAACGTCAACCCCAGAAAATAACCAGTCTCGATTATCCGACGAAACAGATTCCATTGGGTGTTAAAGGCAAAATAGCTATGACAATTACATAAATGGATCACTGAAAATCATTGATGACACAATACACCAAAATCACTTTATCTTTATCTCTATCTTTAAAACAGTTTAATTTGTTGTCACTTTTCTTTCAACTGTATACCTAATAACACGAAAACATTAGGACATTAGTTCTATTAATTTCTGACAAGAAAGTAATATTGTCGAATGAATGTATTTCCACTTTGCTTATAAGAAGAACAGACTAGTACAAAATGGTGCTCGTCCTCAACAACTTATTCATCGCAATGGTCACAGTATAGCAGCAGCTCGTCAACATTAGCTTTTACATTGGTTTTACTATACCGCAATATTTGTATTTTTAGACCATGGGAAAGGGTGTGAAACTCAGCAAGAACACTGATCATGACTTACTTATTCTCAAAGTGAAATTATAAGACCATATTTACATGAAACTTTGTTTCATTTGAGTTGAATAGAATCGGAAAAAGTCACAGATTGCTTACCTCACTAGGACAGATTGCTGGAAAGATACCCGAGTTAGATGCAGTTGCAACATGTATCAGAGGTATCAGCCAATCACGTCCTGGAGCTGGTTCTACGCCATGCAGCACGCTGATTGGGGCAGTATGGGGGTTGGCTACTGGGATAATTATTCTGTTTCTATCATGTAGTCCATTTCTTGACACAGCACACATTACGTTATAGGACATTTGAGAGAGTTACAGTTCATGATATAGTAGTTGCCCGAAGGCAAGGGGGACATATATTAACATTGAGGGACATCAACCCACGTCCCCCGAGGGACCAGTGGACAACGAATCTTACCGCACACCTAATTATACTGCAGGTATGTCACCAATAATACCAGTTAGGCGTTTATCCACATCGTTCTTTTTGTGATAATTCTATGTACTACTCGGTATTAAAATAATTTTAGTTTGGCGCTAGAGGGTTTTTACATCTACCTCAAATATCGAGTACCCATTCCATGTGAGTGAACAAAGAGCTTCCAAAGCTTTTATAATTTTTAAGAACGCCTGTTGAGAATGAGCCATATAATGTACAGGCTGTGTTATAATGTCACATGTATATGCGCTGTTAACACTAGGTTGTATAGTAATGCCCCTGGCTATGGCTGCCGGAATCGGGAGCTAACTAATCCCCATTCTATTGTCTATGCCTGATTTAAGTCCAGTCACATCGATTGTTTGTTGCTTTCCATTGTCCACTTGAATGTCCGGCTATGTCCGCCCATGTAACTTATGTCATTAGCTGGCCGTGTTTGTTGACACACTGTCATGTACACATCACTTGAGTGGTGACATTCGGGGTTTACCTCTTCACATACGATCCACGGAAGTGTGGATGCATCAGTATATCGAGTATCGTGTTACGAGGCCATGTATGTGCACAGAACGAGACAGGAGTAATATGGACATGAACAGTTACGTACTACTTTCCGATGACATGTCACGTGTTCTCAAACCCACTGGAAGTTCACTAAAGTGTTTCGTTCGTGTCTCTATTCATTCCCACTGTTGGGGAAGCACAACATACAAGCATCAAGTACCACGACGGTCCAGCCAAAAGCAATCGTTTGAGATCAATAACCCTATTATGAAGCGATTTGAAATAGGTGAGTGAAATGGGGTTTAACGTTGCGTTCAAGATTATTGCACTTATATAGCAACGTGCATGCGCGTGTGTGTCTGCTTGTACTCGTACGGACTAAAATGTATATAGTGACCCGTGAAGATCCGATTGTCTGGTCCAGACTTGATTATGTACAGACCACCGTCATATAGCTGGAATACTGCTGAGAGCGGCGTTAAACTACACACAAAACAAAAATATACGTAAGTCTTCACATTACAAATACGTAATAGCCTTCACATTACTAATACATCATTCCTCACATTACTAATACATCATAGCCTTCACATTACTAATACATCATTCCTCACATTACTAATACATCATAGCCTTCACATTACTAATACATCATTCCTCACATTACTAATACGTCATAACCTTCACATTATTAATACATCATCCCTCACATTACTAATACATCATTCCTCACATTACTAATACATCATTCCTCACATTACTAATACATCATTCCTCACATTACTAATACATCATAGCCTTCACATTACTAATACATCATTCCTCACATTACTAATACATCATAGCCTTCACATTACTAATACATCATTCCTCACATTACTAATACATCATAACCTTCACATTATTAATACATCATTCCTCACATTACTAATACGTCATAACCTTCACATTATTAATACATCATCCCTCACATTACTAATACGTCATAGCCTTCACATGACTGATACGTCATTCCTCTCATTACAAATAAGTCATAGCCTTCACATTACTAATACATCATTCCTCACATTACTAATACGTCATAACCTTCACATTACTAATACATCATCCCTCACATTACTAATACGTCATAGCCTTCACATGACTGATACGTCATTCCTCTCATTACAAATAAGTCATAGCCTTCACATTACTAATACATCATTCCTCACATTACTAATACGTCATAACCTTCACATTATTAATACATCATCCCTCACATTACTAATACGTCATAGCCTTCACATGACTGATACGTCATTCCTCTCATTACAAATAAGTCATAGCCTTCACATGACTGATACGTCCTTCCTCTCATTACAAATACGTCATAGCCTTCACATGAACAATACGTCCTTCCTCTCATTACAAATACGTCATAGCCTTCACATTACTAATACATCATTCCTCACATTACTAATACGTCATAGCCTTCACATTACTAATACATCATTCCTCACATTACAAATACGTCAAAGCCTTCACATTCTTATACGTCATAGTTTTCACATTACTTATACGACACAGACTTAACATTACCAACACGTCATAACTTTCACAATATTTTTTTGTCATAGTCTTCAAATTACCAGTACGTCACAGTCTTCACATTATGTATTTCTCACAGTCTTCACATTACCAATACGTCATGATCTTCACTTTATGTAGTCAAAGTCTACAGATTATCATGCGTCATAGACTTCACATGATTAATACGTCACAGTCTTCACATTATACGTCATCGTCTTCACATTAATAATACGTTATAGCCTTCACATTATTCATATGTCATACTCTTCAAACTAATATAAGATAATAGCGTTACCGTTATTATAGCTAAAATGGAAAGAATTTGTTATCAAATAAAAATAATATAAGGATAACGCTATTTTTAGGGCATTAACATTTGCAAAAGCCCGAGGTCTTCCATTAACTGCCCGGCGAAGAATGTTTTGAAACATTTACTGTAATCAACACGAATTTCACTGACCCACTTTTACAAGTGTGGAAACGTCATTGAACAAACTAGATGACATCACAATTGAAAGTGAATATGTGCTTTTTCAATTTTAGTTTCACAAGTTATGGTTTGCTTTAGACGAAAATTTAAACCCCATATTGAGGAATTGTATATCAAGACTTCATGTTGAATCAAACTAACAGCGTGGACGCTGAGCTCGTGTCCCATCACATTCAACTGGTGCGTGTACAAGTGACATCCCTCAGATTCAAATGTGATGTAGGTATGAAATCTACGATACCACACCTCAAAGTCGAACCAGATTTAGGTTGATCTCCTCCACCCCATGCTTGCTTACGTTAAGTAAGTATTCCGTAAAATTAGTCTGTCAGATATGCGAGTGTAATCATTTCTTCGGCCTTGACATTGCGCACAACGATTTTTAATGAACTCGGTTATTTTGTAACCCCATGGGTAATAAATAGAGATTATTATGCGAGCATGTGTGTTATACTGATTTCTCGAAACGAGTGTCAGGATAATACATGAATTCTTACACGAGTTTCGTAAAATCAGTTTGACAGACATGTGAGTGGTATAGTTTCTTTTTTACTCAGAATTTCTTAATCATCTTGAGCTCCCCACAACTATCGTCTAAGAAAACCACAATTGTCAAATGACGTCAATGATCTTCAGCTATGACAGCGTTTATAGTGTGACGTCATTCCGACCTTACGTCACGATAAGATTCGAATGACGTCAACAATGTCACCCGGATGACGTAAACAATACAGTGATGCTCGTGAAGTGATAGTTGCACAAGTGCACATACGATTTTTTATGAACTCGGCCATTTCTAACCCTATGGGTAAAAAATAGTGTTTTTTCTACTCCGTGACAGCATGACTGTTCACCACAACCTATTCGTTGAAACACTGACATGTTGCATGAACAGTATATATACATTCATCCTGAATAACGACCAGTCTTAATACTTATAGAAACTGTTCATGGATGCTGTATATTCCAGCACGTGTTGTTGTTTGTATGGGCTGCTGCAGGTGTTAAGCTCCACAAGTGTCTCTGTATTCCCGGCACATTCATCAGAATGGGTGATACATGCGTCTGCCCCCACTAAGCCCCGTCACAGCTCATGTCACGTGACGTGATGTGTGATGCACGGCTCAAGAGACACAGAGAGCCTCAAACATATTTGGTCAGTCCCCGCTGATGCGCCCAACTACGATGTACTCTACACAGTGTAAGTGCTCGATGAACGTAACCTGACACACGCATGTTTCTACCGTTCAGTCGAGTCAGTGCATTATTGCAAGGCATGAGCACGCTCTGAGCACGTATACAGAAAAAAATAACCTGGAAAAATAAGAACATGGGGGGCCAATACGTTTGTTTAGAGGCGAAATTTAAAATAGTTTCTCAAATCATGTAGTTCACGGTGATATTATAATAGTCATTGCATATCTTAACCATGAACATGAGAAGTATTTACCTTTTCTCCAAAAACGCTTGTTCAAAACTGCGATACGTGCTTCTGGAAGGAAAGGGACAAGGGAAGATCAGGCCTGTTGACAGTCGTCGTAAATGACCCGATTCCACACTGTACGGCCTTGAGACCCCACGTGTGACCGACAACCAGCCAATGACAAGCCTTTGCTTTCGACACACCTACATATATGAACGATATGTAACCTGTATTAACTGGTTTCTATCTAAGTTTTGCAGTCGTGATACAAACTTGTGTACTTGTCTGTAATAGACAAACATCATCATGACTGGCTGACCGACATTTCGCCTTCATATTGTTGTATCTAATCGCTGTAAGGTGCGTTCCAGCCATGTTAACCTTCCTCCAAAATTTCTGCTTTAAAAATAAACAAGATTAATTTATTTTTTCAATCATTGATGCAGGTCCTTGCACTAACAGCACACGCACATACACACACACGCCACGTGCGCGCACGCACGCACACATATACACGCACAAACAAACAAATATTTTTCATTTCTTTGGGTCTAATTTTCAAATGGCACTTGACATTTGCTTGAAGGCTCAAACTCAAATTTGGAAGGGGATCAGCCAATAAATATTGTATAGGCGCTGTACCAGCAATACACTCATATACAAGGGTCAAATACGTTTCCTTATGATTATTGTGTACATCAGGACATACCAATCTCATTAAAATCAGATCACAGTGCTCGCTTGGTGTAGCGGTAGCAAATATGTAATATTACAAAATCACCTTCCAGGTCAGCATGAAAATAACTGGTAACGTATTGCCCCTTCATGGCAGCTTATTGACATATGTATGATGAAGCTTTACCAGCCAAGTGTCCTGATATAACCCACAAACCTAAATCATAGATATTTAAAAAACCAACAAATGTACATAAGACACAGTAATTAGATTGTAAATAGCCCGAGCCGTCATTACAATACATATTTGCTAGACTAAGTGACAGCTGTCCCCAGCCCCCTTCCGCAACTTCCCCCTGTCTCCGTCCGCTCTTAATGATCGTATGTGATTGTGAAGGACTTTTTTTCAACTATAAAGTTTCATATGCAAAGCTGATTATCAAAGTGCAAGTTGCTCACAGGTTTGAAATAGCAATGGCAATTATCAAAAAACAAAAGCATTACATTTATGCCACTACTGGTGAATGGGAATAAGTGTAATGTTACAGTCACAAATTTGAATGTTGTCCAAAAACATTCGCAATTTCGTTTGTGGCTGTATTGCAATATCACTATATCGTATCGAACTATCACTTTATCGCGATATCGATATCACGGCGATAGAGCGATGACCCCTCTAATCCACATTACTACTCATTATTTTGTGGGTTAAATCCCATATCGCCCCGATAGCTCGGCAGATATGTAACAATATAAGGCCAAGATGTTCACTTCCGGAAGAAAGCGTGAACATTTGTACATAAGGGTTTTAGTGTATGCAGAATCTGATTTTAATGGGATCCACGCTGGCAAACCAATGGTTCCCACTCAAAATTAAGAAATCCAAGATGGCCGCCATCCGTATTACAAATTTTGATATATGGCCATAACTTTGGATCTATTTGACATAGAAACATGATCTTGGTGGCAAATTATAGGTTTTCGGGGCCAAGTCATGCAATGAAATAGTTTAAAATACTGTAAAGTACATCCAGAACAAGATCAAAGATGGCCGCCATCCGTGTAACAACTTGTGTAAACGACAAATATGCTTTTTTGAAGGGTGAACGATTTTAATCAAAACTCCATCCAAACAGGTCAGGTCAGGTGGATGAGCATACAGAACACATATTCAAGCTGTCAAGCCTCGTACGGCTTTACAGATCACGACTTGAACAACTTGGCGACGATATGCCAGGGCGCACAAACTCAACTCGTCTGAAGGAGAAGCTTCTCATACGAATTCCTGACTTGGAAGCACACAAAAGTATGAGGTCATGCTAACGTTTAAGAATGACGTCGGAAATACCTTGTTGGAGGCCAAGAAGCAGGAACCCGAGAGTGATGCTGTTGTACTCATGAGAGCTGCAAACATAATCAGGAAGGAGATCTTTCAGAAACGCTACAAATTCACGGGATCATCGATAGACGAGCAGTATGAGGATAATCTAATTTCCCTAATTGCGTTGGTTCAGATGATTCTTGGAGGTACAAACATCCAAAACCAGATGGAAAACAATCATGTTGTGAAAACAGCTGCAATATCAATAGCTGAGTTGCTCACATTCAACACCCTGAAAGGTAGCAGGAAAGAAACCACTGCTTCAAAGACTCGACACAGCCTGGAACGGGAAACCAGACTTCCTTTGTACCTTGGGTTGCTGATCCACAACAAGACCAGAAAGCGTGACTTGATTGACACTCTTTTCGAGAAAGGATTGCCTATATCGTATGACCGAATACTGGCCATACATCAGCTGGCCACAGATGTAGCAAACAGTGCATTGACCTCGTTTGAAGATGTTGGGGCTGTGTGCCCTACAGCGCTGAGAAAAGATCTCTTCACAACAGGCAATCTCGACAACATAGATCACAATCCTTCAACCACTTCAGTACAAACTGCGTTCCATGGAACTGCCATATCTCTGACGCAGCATGTTACGAATGAACGTGCAGGCACAGAGCTCCAGAACAAACCTCTCATCGACAAGGACACACCAATTGCAGGACAAAGAAGATCAAGCCAATCATGGAGTCGTACAGTACTGTCCCGCCATCTGCATTCCCAACCGATGACCCTACACCATGCAAGACAGAGGGACAAGCGGTCCACCAAACGTCTGCAGTCAACTCAGATGAGCTGCAGCTCTCATGGGCACAGGCAGTTGAGAAGCTGTTGGAGAAACCTGAATTGAAATTGGTCAGCACATTTTGCAGCTTCACAAGATTCCTGCCCCAGACCACCGGCGATATCTGGGCTCATGCCATTATTCCGTGATAACGCACGTTCTTTGGCGATGGTAAAGCATGGCATGGATGTAATCGCTAAAGCTACCGAACATGTGCATCCTGGACAAGTCCCAATATTGACTGTTGATCAGCCGCTGTATGCCATCGCCACGAAGATCCAGTGGACCTGGCCAGCTGCCTATGGCGAAGACAAGTATGTGGTGATGATTGGTGGAGTGCAAATAGAGATGGCGTTCCTGAAAGTTCTAGGAGATTAGCTAGATGGCAGTGGATGATTGGTTGTACTGACGACTGCGAACGTTACCACCGATGGTGGGGCTGATGCTCTTAGAAAGGAATCATTCAAGGCACGTTCTCAGTGGGCTCATCAAGTAACAGCTGCTGCACTGTTTGTTTACGTAGCCAAGCCTACAGTTCATACAAAGCAGAAGCAGAGGCAGACGCGAAGCCTGTGATGCAATTCGAAAACCGGTGCACACACATGGAGACGCATCATCCGCAGTTTCGGTACTGGAACAAAACCTTCAAACCTGAGGTTCTCTTCCTCCATTTCATGCAATCACAGCGTGAAGGAATCTTTGAGCTCTACATTGGCACACTAGGAAAAATTGTGCCATGGATGTTTGCCATGGATCACTTCCACTATACGAGGTGGTTGTCTGTTCACGTGCGAGATCTGATGCAGTTACAGCGTGAATGTCCAGCAGTATGCAATGAGTTCAAAAAAGGACACTTTGTGACACAGAAAACAACTCATCGCTTCTCCATGATGGCTCATGACCATGTACACGAGCAGCTCAATGCTATGTTGAAAGGGGATGGTGGAATAATTGGCATCACTGAAAATGAAGCAGCCCTCAGGCGGGGGATGATTGCAGGTCCCGAGATGGCCAGGATCATACCTGAGGTTGAAGTGAGCACATCTCAGAAGACAACCCGCAATGATCGACACCATGAGCAAACTCTGACCACACAAAAGAAATTAGCAACAAATGTCCAAAGCGTGATAGATGTTCTACACGAATTGGGTAATCCCTTCACAAAAACGAGCGCTGATCTCCACACACTGGACACGAAGGTCATCATGTCTGATCAAGTCGTCCAGAACTTCTCAGAAGCCGAGGAAATAGGTAGGACTCAGTACAACACCTTTGTTGATTTGCGAGTTGTGAAGATGGAGAAGCCTTTCAATGACACTATTCCAAAAAATAACCTCCAGTTGTTCAAGTCAGGAGAACGGAAAGTCTCCTCAAAATGTCCAACATGAAGAGCGACCTTCAGCTATTTTCGCGAATGTACATCTCTTGTCAAGCACGAAATGATGAAATGGACGTGTTCTTCCAGCTTGAAAACCACTCTTGGCCACCGTCTCTGGCTGAAAACAACATGATGCGTCTCGGAGAAAAATCTGACTTGCTAAAGTGTCTGGAACCACTTGCAGACATCGAGTGAAGAACTTCTTACAAGAAGAGAACACTTGTTTTTTAGAATTAGGTGGAATCCAACAACTTTTAAGTTTGTAGGTTGCTTGTATGGTAGCATCACGTCAGAAAAAACAGTTTTGTTTGATTCTTGATTCTTGTTTTTTTTACAGCGTCGTCATGCCCACAAAATATTTTCAAAATCTTATAGTTGCAACAACTTTATTCACATGTGCTGATGACAGAAAAAAATCAATCAATAAAAAAAAGTTGAATTATGGTTCATCTTAATATATTCTATGTTCAATCTCAATTCTGAGCTTGAATCAAATTACAGTTACGGAGAGATATCGACATTCGTGAAATGGATGGCGGCCATCTTTGATCGTGTTTTAAACTATTTCATTGCATTCCTCGGCCCCCGAAAACCTATAATTTGCCACCAAGATCATGTTTCTATGTCAGATAGATCCAAAGTTATGGCTATATATTGAAATTTGTAATAGGGATGGTGGCCATCTTGGATTTCTCAATTTTGCGTGGGAACCATTGGTTTGCCAGCGTGGATCCCATTAAAATCAGTTTCTGCATACTCCATAACCCCTATGTACAAATTTTCATGCTTTCTTCCAGAAGTGAACATCTATTTGACATATCTGCCCAGCTACGAGACATATGTCGCGACAAAGCGAAAGTACGACGCGATATCGTATGGTGGCCGAAGAGGGACGTCGCTTTATCTACTTCAATTACGGCTGCGAGACTGCGATATATAACATGATACGAGAAAGCGACAGC